TCAAACTACATGTTGAAATCCACCATAATCCTAAAAAAATAGTTTAACTCATAATATCTAATAAAAACAACATCCAAAGAAATATCCCTCATATTTCTTTCTTTTAACCTAATGATATCACCCTATAACATTTTATTCTCTACCTTCCCTTGTGGTGCATACAGTCCAATTTTTTTTCCTTCCCCACACTCTCAGGAGTATAAACTTATTTGAGATTTCTATACTAATCTTCTCAAAAACACCACCCTCCCAAATCACAATCAAACAACTTGATCTCCCATTTGAAGGTGTTGCCACCCATTCCACCCTATTCACTATTCCTAAATTTCTCACTTCAATCTCCTTGCATTCCTCTGCTTTCGTTTCTTGCATTAACACCATCTGAATTTTTTTTCTCCATTCTCTTAACGCCTATTTATCCTCCTCATTACCTAAGCCTCTCACATTCCAAGACAACACCCTTATTTTATGCATACAACAACCACCACCCCCAAATCAAACAGTTAAACACAAAAATTAAATGGCACCATCAACAAGCAGTACAAACAAAACTCAATTCATTCTTGGACTAACATGACAGTAATAGAAAGTAATTCATTACTCATACTTTATGGAATTCATTTAAGCCCTTGAGTTTTTGGATTTCTTTCTTGCGTGTTAATTTCATGAAATAAATTGCAACACTTGGTTACGTGCTCTTTTGTGCTCTTTGTAAAATCATGATAAAATAAATGCCACATCAATTAAGTTTAACTTATCTTGAAGACTTAAATATAAGAAGGAACTCTCCACCTATTATCAACCTGATGAGATGCATTTTCAACATAATAAACATTTAAAACCCTTTAGATTGTTGGATTTAAGTCAGCTTGCCATCTTCTTTGTAAACATTTTCTCAATACAACCCAACTTTTTCAAGATTCAATGGAATTACAGAGTGGCAAAAGCCTTGTTCAATTCTTCCTCAAATTCTATTGAAGTAGCAACACAAGAGGAGAAAGCAAATGGAAATGCACGACATGCAAAACCAAAGAACCTGGAGAATGGTCAAGTTTTGAGACAGGAAATTGAATATAATAGACAGAGTTCCATAACATCCGATTTATTGAGGGACTGTCGGCTGCAGCTGAGTTTGCAGGCACAGCTCAGAATACGTTAGAAAGGTTGGTGGTCATGAGTGGTTAGCATTCCGGTTATGAGTCTCTGAAGCATGCTTATCTACCTCCCTCTTCGCCATATTTCCGGCTTTCGCCACATGCATGTCCATTTCTGCCTCTGCCTCTTTTGCCTTTCTAACTTCGTGAGCAATGTCCATCCTGGCTTTGGCTAAATCTTTTTCGGCCTATATGAAAATAGATATCATTGCCAAAAAAAAAAGTTGTGATTATAGCAAAAAGGAGAGAGGGAAAAGAACTTCAAAAGAGAATAAAAACATGTATCGAATACGAAAAACAACCAAATCAAGAAAATCCCATTTGTTTGATGATACTAGCTAGTTAATTAATTTTTTAGGAAAACTGCTTGACTTTTGCTGAATTAATGGCCATTAAGACTACTTTCCACGTGTTTTATTTGTTTTATTAGGTTATTGTTGAACCTAACCAAAGCGGTTATTTCTTGGGTGTGAAATATGAACTCAAACCATGAAATAAATGAAAATTCTTTAATGAAATTGATAAACTAAGAAAAATTATAAGGGATATTTTTTTTGTACCTACTTTCAAAGAAACAAACTCTTTTCTTGACTCCTTAGCTAAGTTCGGCGTTGCCAGATCAAAGATATTTTGTATTTGATCGTAGCATGGATTGAGGGTATCCTTTTGTTTTAAATGTTTGCATCTCTATTAAGTTTCTAATATTCATTTTGGGAGATTAATATTGTATCAATCATCTGATACTAATAAAACTCTTCTTTGAATAGCAAAAAAGGAAAAAAAAATTGTTATGAAAACTGAAAACAAATTAAACACTAGTGCATGCATGCAAGCAATCACCTTTTCCTCGGCCTTTGCCTCAGCCTTTGCCTCAGCCTTGGCCTTGTGCATCTCCCCCATCTCGTGTAACTTATCCTTTATTGCTTGCATTTTGCTATCGACCTCACAAAATTAACCTCAAGGAGTAGCCTGTTTTTCTTTAAGCAAATACAATGCCGTACGTTGAAACAATTTCCCAACAGAAGAGAAATATATATACACACACAAAGCAGCTGATTTGTAGACATTGAGACATCATTATGTGGTATGGAAACGCTGTGTACTCAGTCAGTGATATGAACCGCAAAGTACGATGAACCATTTAACATTGCCTTAAGTCCACAAAATCAGCTCCAGTTGTTAGTACCTTGAACAAGTAAAACTTTTGATGGATCTACATAGTTTGTCTCAAATATTATGTTTCGTTTTCTAACTGATCAAGGAAATATTGTTACCATATCAAAGTTTCTTTTAAACTAGACTCTTTAAATTGGTTTATAAGTATAGTACGGATAATTAATTCTCATTAATTCAAAGTACTAAGAAAGAGATAGTAGTAACCATGAGTTCTTGCCCAATGATTCTAATTAAAAGTACAAATAGAATGCTTGCCACTCATGCCACATTTGTTCGGCCAACTACATGCATCGAAAGCACGAAAGTTTTGGCTGTCATATAAACAACTAATTCCATTGATTTAATTTCCTAAGTTAAAAAAAAAATACCAACAGTGGAAGCTTTAACCCCACAAAATATTAGAGAGAACGAAACAAAAAGAAATAAAGAAATAAAAGAGACAAACAGACAGACAACCATCCAAGCTGGGAGAAGGGCACAAAGGAGTCAGTCATGCAAAAGGAAACACATCAAACTTAATAATGAATGCATGAAGGATGCTTCCATCTTCAATCTTCAAATCATAAGCTATTTCTTTCGGTGTAATAAGTTTTTAGAATGAAAAAGAAACTCATGGTAGTTAAGAGCACCATTGTGGGCAGAGTAATCAAGCTTTAAATTATGTAGCAGGTGTTTCGTCCAATTCAATGTAATAGGTGATCATCTTTTATCATGTTATGCACTGTCAGAACTACCGGTTGTCATAACATGAGAGTCCATAAATTCAACCATTTGACGTGAAAGAGGAGTCGTCACCAATGCTTGCTTTTTTTTTTTGTTTAGGTGTAATTGGTCACTTACGTGAATCTATGTCTTTTAATAGAGTCCTAAGCATAGCTTCATTTAAAAGAATAGGTTCCAATCTATGAAACAAGATCAATTTGGAAGTACGGTTATGTGTGAGGAAAGTTTTAGCACCCTCACAATGCCCACTTAACGTGGTACCTAATTAATTATATGTTATCCTTTTAGCCTTAATAACTAAATTTTAAATTTGTATCCAATCTTATTTTCCTTAATCATTTTACAACAAAGAAAAGTCCTTTGATATTGAAATGTCATTTAAACATTCCAATACTTATAGAAGAATTCAAGAAGAATTTCTCACCTAAAAATTTTCTCAAAGTTATTACTTATAACTTTCTCGAAATTTCATCGTCAGGGAATTTTTACTTATTTATGAATTTTTTTAGTTATAAATTCTTTTGTTTCACTTTTATTATTTTTATTATTTTGTTAGTATTATTATCATGCAAATCTTTGTATTGAAAACTTTCTAAAATTTTTCAATTCTTTTGGCAAAATTTTAGGAAAATTTCTCACTTAGAAACTCTCTCGAAACTATTACTTACAACTTTTACGAGATTTCATCATCAAAAGATTTTTATTTGTAATCTAATTTTTATGAATATTATGATATTATACTTTTAATCTACAATATTTAAATATTTAATGTTTACGTTTTATATTTTAATTTATGAAATCTTAAATATTTATTTTTTTAATTTATAAATTTTTTTATTCATTTGTTATTATTTTCTATAATTATTTATAAATAAATCTCTTTGTAAAAGTAAATTGCAAGATTACCTCCCATTACTTATCGTGAGGTCTTATAAGTGAAGGTTGCTCCCTTTAAAATAGGGTTAATAAATAATTTAATCTATTAATTAAAAAACTAATGTCATAAGATATTTCAAACCAGTAAAAAATAATCAATCGTAAGTTTTTCTTTTTTTTGTTTATTTAGTTTGAAATTCTCTAGAGAAGATGTCCCAACCCTTCAATCACTATGGAAACATGCTTTTTTTTTTTTTTGAAAAATATGCAATTTTATTGCTAAATGTCAAAGATAAAACTGCTTTGGGCTTTATTGCTACAAATGACATAAAAAAAATAATAGAAATAAAAAGAACCCTAGGTATAAATTTTTTAAAATTTTTTATAAATTTTCCATCCATTCAAATGCAACAATACTTTAACCAAACTCAGGCAACACTATGGTCCTAGCACCGTTGGAATTCAAAAACATTTACTCCCGCAGCAGCTCCATTTTACTGGAACATCTGAACAAAATCAGTCTCTCTAGAAACCCCTTCTTTAGCTAAACCATCAGCAATGCCATTCCCTTCCCTCTTTATATGTGTAACCTTCCAGCATTGAATTTCCCTTTTATGTAGATCCTCATCAATTTTGCAATACTATCTGCCTGAATCTTCATGGTGCATTAAGTGGATTATTAACCCAATTTACTGCATTAAAAGAATCACTTCTCACGCACAATTTCTGTAATTCTTGATCCATCAAGCCAATAAAAATCTGAAACGTTACTTTTATAGCCAATAATTCAGCAAGACTTAAGTGATCTCTCATACTCCTCCTATACCAGCCGGCCACAGACTTCCTTGTGCAGCCCCACTCAATTCTCCCATAGGAGTACTCACTTGCCGCGGCATTGAAATTGCAGGACATCTGAAAATATCCACCGTAGAACCCACGGTTTCTGGCCACTTGGCTTCACTCCATGAGGTTATTCATAATTTAATCAATTCATATAATTGAATAACATCCCAGTTCTTTCTGCTGAATACAGCGACGTTACAAAAAAGCTAGATAGACCTTACAATAACATAAAAAAAACCAAGTTCCATATCTTAGATTTATCTCCATAATTGCATGATGATATCCAGGCAAGGAAAGAACATCTTGGATTGTATGAATCACCCAACTAATATTCCATTTCGAACACCACATCTCCCACACGTCATCACACGAATATATGGAAATGTATTAATAGTAAGAAAAACGACACCATTTGTCTAAAATTAATACGCTAATATACGGCTTCATTTAGTTTTATTTTTAGTCATATATATATATTATTGAAATGGTATCAACAACAAAAGATATTTGATAATCTGAAAAGTGAGTTAAATATATTTTTCCTTAAATTTTTTAAAAAATTATTTTTTTGGTTCAATTTAGTCTTCAAATTTTATTCAATTTGGTTCTCGTACTCTAAATTTCTTATTCAATTTAATGCTTGGACCATACATTTTTCTTTAATTTAGTCTTTTTAAAGTGACAATATCACGTAAGCATGTTAAGGTGACGTGCCACTCTTATGTCAACGTTGACATCATTTCTTTTAACAGTAAACTTAGATGCTGTTAGGAGGAGAGATTAACTTGGAGTAATTTTCAAAATTAATGGACTAAATTGTTTTAATTTTGAGTATATAAACTAAATTACACTCCTCCAAACTATGGCTTCTCCTCCCAAGGTGAAAACTGATCTTGATGTCGATTTCCTTGAATCAACATTAGACTAAAAATTTGAATTAGTGTACCCTTTGCCATAAGGTCACTTCTAGAATAGATGAGCATGCAATTCTTTGTTCTATGCAAATTTTTAAAAATACACTTGACTATAGTCTAGTGCACCATGTCGGGTTAGACTGAAATTTGCTAACTAGTCTTACAACATAGTAGCTGTTTGGCCTAGTACACATCATAGCATACATTAGACTTCCTATAACAGATACATAAGGAATCCGTCTCATATTGTCACTTTCATGTGGAGTTTTGAGTGACATCTTCTTAGAAAGTTTGATTCCATGTCTAAAGGGCATAAAACCCTTCTTGGAATCTTGCATAGCAAACTTGGCCAAAATCTTGTTTATGTAGGATGCTTGGGATAACATTATCTGCTTATTCTTACAATTTTTTATAAGTTTGATCCTTAGAACATAACTAGCTTCTCCTAAATCCTTCATATCAAACTTTTTGTTGAACCAACCTTTAAATGTTGACTGCATTCTTACATCATTCTTAATGAGTAGAATGTCATCAACATAGAGAATAAAAAAATAACCTTTTTGTCTTGTATTTTTTTATAGACACAGGGTTTGTCTACATTTTGTTAGAAGCCATATGATTTGATAGCATTATCAAATCTTATGTTCCAAGACCTAGATGCTTATTTAAGTCCATAGATAGACCTATGTAACTCACAAACCTTATACTCATGGCCCTTTTTAATGAAACCTTTTGGTTGAGCCATATAAATGCGCTCTTTAAGATCACCATTTAAAATATAGTATTGACATTCGTCTGCCATATCTCATAGTCAAGATGTGCAACTATGGATAAGTAGATCCTGATGAATTTAAGCATAGCAATCGATGAGAAGGTTTCTTCATAGTCAATCCTTTCTCTTTAGGTATAACCTTGGGCTACTAGTTTAGTCTTGAAGATCTCTACCTTCCCATCACTTTCTCTTTTTCTCTTGTAAATCTATTTGCATCTTATGGGTTTTATCCCTTTAGGTAGATCTACTAAAATTTTCAAACTTTGTTGGAATCCTTGGAGTCCAACTTAAATTTCATTGCCTTATACCATTGCTCAACATCAACATCAATAATGGTTTCCTTATAAGTGATGGGGTCAGATTCATGTTTATCTAAGTGAGCAATCATATTCTTTCCAGACCCATGCATTTATCAAGTGTTTCACAACCCTCCTATTGCATTAAGGTACCACTATTTGATGTTCAAGTTGTGTATCTAATTCAATTGTTGAATCATATAAAGTAATGATATCTTCAGAATTAACTCTTAAATCTAAAGGATCAAACAATTCTTTTAAGATAAATTTACTTCTAGGTTTGTGATTTCTCATAAATTCTTCTTCTAAGAAAATGGCATTCGCACTAATGAAAACTTTCTTATCTTAAGGACTACAAAAGTAATAACATCTTGTTCCCTTGGGATACCCTATAAACAAGCATACTTTAGTCCTTGGTTCGATCTTTGTGGACTCAGATTTTAAAACATGTGTAGGACACCCTCAAGTTCACAAATGTCATATAGATGATTTATGCACTATCCATAGCTCCTTGGTGTCTTGGGCACTGCCTAAGATGGTGCAAAGTTGAGTAAGTTTGCACCAATTTGCATGCAATATCCTTAGAATGAGATTGGAAAGTTAGCATAAGACATCATTGATCTAAACTTCTGCTTCCAAACTTCTTTCATCCAAAGTGTGGAAGGAAATGAACATATCAGTGCACCTCATCAACCTCTATCAATCTTCGACCTGGTTAATTAAAGCTAATAATAATATAAGGAGATCAGGCAATGAAGCGACCATCTATCACTCAAACCGGTCAAGGAGCAAATGCATACATACATGTTCCCCTTGCTATTGATTATTTCAACTCCCAAAGAAACACTTTTACAAATTGGCATTTACTTTCTTCTTGTGTGAAAAATGCTATATAAGGTCTATTCTCTTCGTCATTGGCAAAGAAATCCTAGAAAAATGGCAGTGAAAATGATCAAGAGCTGCATAGCAACAACTCCATTGAGTTTAATCTATACTTCTTGGGTGAAAGAAAGAGAACCCCATTGTTTTTTTTTTTTTTAATAATTGAGGAAAAAAGGATTCGAACTATATTCTTTAGTTAAGAGATTATGTACCAACTAATGAACCAAATGCTCGAATGTAAGAGAACCTCATTGTTCCAAAAGTGCAAGAACAAAAAAAAGCTCGCCAACTTGTCTCTCTATCTCATGCTAAAGAAAAGAACCCCATTGTTTTCAAAGTGCAGAGACTGAAAGAAGTGATCAACTTTGGTATCGGATGGGCCAAAACAAACCACTATAGAATCTAATGCTTGATTACAGTGACGATACCTGTGCTGTTTTCGATTGTACGAGATTCGTTTTCAATGATTATCGTCTTGATCCATACAAAACAGCTGATGATTTGGGGATAGAGAATGAAGATATCACTAATGCAAAATGAGTATCGAATCTTCATCATATATCCATTTTAGTTTGATCATCGAGTTCTAATCAATATATGTAGTTCGTTTTATAGAATATTAAAATATAATATTTCAATTTGTTCTAATCAATATATGTAGTTCGTTTTATAGAATATTAAAATATAATATATCAATTTGGATATGTCTAGCTATGGGCCAAAGCCCAATCCATAGAATAGTGAGAAAACAGAAGAAAAATACTTAAATTTGACTTTTTTTTTCTTTTAATTATTTATAAAAAAATATCACTAAATCTATCTCCTATCGAACATATACATTTTGTACAAATAACTATAAAAAATATTTAAAAAATATTATATCATAATTCAAAACAATATTTAAAAAAACCATAAAACCAAAACGTCAAGATTAAACTTTGAATAAATTAATTTAGAAAATAGTTTCAAAAATCGTAATACTAACAATCCCAAAATATCTCAAATGTGTAGATTACCAAATGTCACCCCTTGAAATCCTCATGTGCTTGACCATTTCTTGCTTTGTGCATGTTTTAGATATGTAGAATATCGATCTCTGTAACATTTCAATTTTATAGAAAGTTTGATAATTAAATTAAATTCTATTTAAAGGTTAGAAAATCCAAATTAAATAGTGTATTCTTTCTTGAAAGTACAAAAATTTGAGTGGTCACTATCACTTTCTTCATCACTAACATATGAAATTTAAAAATTCTATCTTACCATGTATAAACCTTTTACATATACGATCCATTTAAAACATGTAAAATCAATTTTTTTTATCTCTCAAAAGAAGCCGTAAGACGAAAATATTTTTAATTGGTACATGAACTCTTGATTGGTACACGAACTCTCCGTCGTTCTCCATTACATTTGCCTTTCCACCAAATTTAATATTGAATTTAAGTAGATTGATTATATTTTGTTAAAAGATATTCTCATCATTAAAACTCAAAATTTCGTCTTAAATATTTACATTAAAAGTTTAAAATAAATAAAATGTAATTTATGAAATTAAAAAGATTATTTAATTTAAAACCCTTATTTATAATACAATTTCGATTAAATCATTTTAACAAGCAAACAACTGGCAAATCATCGAGTTGATGCTTCGGCCCACAAGCATCTTTTCGAGTGTTAGGTACGCCTGCCAATCTTTTTCTATCAAGGGTTCACACTGAATTTCAATCACATAAAATGTCTGCATACATGTCACAATCGGTATCATATTCCGTACTAACATTTAACTCAATAATAAATACGTGTATTTTTATATTAAAAATTAAAATTAAAATTAATATTTTAAATCTAACCCTTAATTGGGGAAAAAAAAATTCTATTAATTAGGCTTGTGAATCAGATCATCCATTAAGAATTAAGATCATCCCAATACCAATAAGCTAAATGCAAGAAAGTGGGAACAATTTTTATTGAAAATACTAAACAATTTACCTAAAAATCAAGCTTTCTTCTCCTTGGATGCTAGTGGAGGAGGAGAAAGCAGGAATCTGAAAACCCAAGCAGCCAAAGTTGCCCCAATCGAAGGACCAATCCAATAAACATAGTAAAGCTCCCAAGAATTGTGCCAGTTGTTCTCATATGCCCATCCAAAGGCATTGGCTGGATTCATGGAAGGTCCAGTGTATTTGGAACCTGTTGTAACCAATCCCACAGTTGATGCAGCCATTAACCACAGCTTAATCAAAGGGTTTTTAGGACCTCTGAAGAGAATCACAAGGAGAGCAAGGCTGAGCCCAAAAGTCAAAACCCCTTCAGCTATCGCCCCAGTATGCAAATCCACATTCAGGGAAGGTCCTTTGATGAATTTCTTGTATTCCCCTGGAATCACTTGCAGGATTGCCTTGACACCAGCAACTCCACCAGCAGCCTGAGCAGGAAAACGTACGGCCATGGAGAGGAGAGAGGAGTTTTTCTTGAGACCGGCGGCATAGAAAGTGAGAGAAGCTGTGGGGTTGAAGCTAGCACCACCCAAAGCTTCTCCAATCAAGCTGAAGAGGAAAACTAAACAACTGACAAGGATGGTGGTGATAAAGAGAGCAGCCCAGGGGAGGGCCTGGACACTAAGGAAAGTTGCTATTATGCCTGTCAAAATCCTTAGCATAGGCATGCAAAACACCCACATGGATGTCAACAGGGCATCTCCTATGGCTGCCTTGATCACTCCCATCTTCCTCTTCAGTTCACCCCTGGGAAGAACCCCAGAAAACCAGACTTTCAGCTCTCCCTTTGCTTAGCTTTTCGGCCCTTCTTTTTATGCTCTTTTGCCCTCTTTTCTGGTGCTTTGTCAAGGCAGGATTTCAGCTTGTCTGAAAACAAACAAATACCAAGACACCAACTACTTCTGCTGCTTATCTTGCCTTTTTGGAGGGTAGTGATATCACGTGAATCCTACCTAACCAAATAATTATATTAAATTCTATACGGAAAAAGAAAGATACATGTTACGTGTTAGGCTAAAATTTTTAAGTTTCAGATAATAAAAAATAAATAAAAGAGTTGAAACATGTTTTATCAAAATATGTTTATGAAAATTAATTAAATTATTAAATGTATAATAAATTGATGTAGTTTATATTTAAAATAATCCAAATAATTAGTATTTTATATATGGTTGTAGAATTTTAATTTTCAGTCAATATTAGAAATTTGACACCTGTTTATTGAGTTATATTTTAAAAAAATTGACGTATTAATATAATAAATTTATATTTAAGTTACATAAAATTTTGAATAGGGATTACATAAACAAGAGGAAAGGGACTATATTTTGTAAATATAATATTTCTTTAGATAATAACAAGAAACACGATTTACTCGTTGCAGTGGATGGGATTTTTTACATAAAAAATATCAATATTTATGTATTAAATTTATAACAAATGCCTTTATTATATTAAAATAATGTTTTCTCTCAATACTTTGAAATTCATAATATTAATTGTCAAGTACCATATTTAATATAGGAATATTATTGTAAATACTATTTAAATTAACTTTTAATGGTATTTTTTAAACACCCTTAGTAGCACACTTTAAGTATATATGTTTATTAATTTTGTTATATTTTATATTGATGTTTAAATAATCCAAATAATTATCATTTTATATATGGTTGTAGAATTTTAAGTTTTAGTCAATATTAGAAATTTGACACTTGTTTTATTGAGTTATACTTAAAAAAATGACGTATTAGTATAATAATTAAATGAATATATAACAATATTCTAATCAATGCGTTTATAAATTTAAAAATTTCACTATCAATGTATGAAGTATTAATTTAAAATATATTTAAATAAAAAGTTATTTTGAAACGAAAAAGATAAAAAAAACTAGGTTGTAACATTTGGACAGGAAGTTTAATACTAATAAATTTCATTTTCGATTATAATATATATAGATACATACATATTGAGTTGCATGAAATTTTGAACCTAAACAAGAGGAAAGGGAATATATTTTTATAATAAAATATAATATTTCTTTAGATAATAACAAGAAACACGATTTACTCGTTGCATGCCGTGGATGGGATTTTTTACATAAAAATTATCAATATTTATGTATTAATTTTATAACAAATGCCTTTATTATATTAAAATAATATTTTCTCTGAATACATTGAAATTCATAATATTAATTGTCAACTACTATATTTAATATAGGAATATTCTTGTAAATACTATTTCAATTAACTTTAAAGGGTATTTTTTTAACACCCTTAGTAGCTTACTTTAAGTATATATGTGCATTAATTTTTTTATATTTTGTATTGATATTTAAATAAACTAAAAAGTCAAACCTATAGTCTATAGAGGATGTGATATCAATATCATGTTGAATTGTCAATATTCTCTTAATTAGTTGATATTTGAAAAAAATATTTATGAAAAAGAGTATTGAGATATGGTAAGATGATATTCTCTTAGTCTTTTTTTTTTCTTTTTTTTCATCATTATTTTAATACATGTACAAAAATCCAAAAATAAAAGAAAAATATAAAGGGGTTATGAATGGGTTCAGCAATGGGCAAGGAAAGTAGGGAACAGTTGTTTGAACCAACAACCAAAGCCCAAATAAAGCTGAAAATAGTAAGCACCAAAAAACCCAACATGACAAAAGGGTTGGGAAGACCCAATTAATCTTTCAATTTATATTATTATGTATATTATAAATGTATATATTTAATGTTCAAAAAGTTCAAAAAATATATACAAAAATTATATTTTGTAGAAAAAATTAATAATAATTCCTTTTTATTTTTAAAATTTTTTATACTTTTACATGATAGAAAAATAATTCAATGTTGAATGTAATAAAAGAATATAGATAAGTACATTGTTAATTAATTGATTTGACAAAATGTTTAGTACATAATTTACATTTTTATTTAAAGAGTGACTAAACAAGGAAGTGCATTTGAGATTTTTTGTTCAACCAGGCATACATAAAGTAGAAATTAAAGAACTATAATAGGTAATAAATTTATCCCCTTAAAAGGCTTAGGTCTAAAAAATAAGATGCAAATGGTGGATTGGGGAACTGTATGCAACTATCATGAGAATGTGAGCTTGGATTACTTGATTGGTAGCTTAAGAATAGGGCTTTGCTAAGTAAGTGGTCATGAAGATGTGGGAATGAGAAAGGAAGTCTGTGGAGAGCGATTGTTGATCGGAAGGTTGGAGGTGACCCTTCGACACTACTTATGAATTCTATCATTAACAAGAATTACTTTATATTGTGAAGCAATATTATCAGTCCCCTTTCTCCTATTAGCAATTTTTTTATGTAGGTTACATCGAGCTTTGGAGTAATTATTGGTAATGGGCGAAGTGTATTTTTCTGGGATGATAAGTGGATTGAGGGGTTCATTCTAAGAGAAAGTTTTCCTAGGATGTACGTCTTATTGGTTAACAAAAGTGGGAAGGTTTGTGGGTTAGGAATGAATGGGTTTGAAATATTGAATTTCTAAGGGGAGTAATCAGGTGGAAAATGAGTCAAAGAGATCTTTTTTTAAACCTACTTAGAGATTGGCCTTTGGATATGTGTCTAAAAGATAAGTTGGTATGGAAACGAGAAATTAATGGAAAGTATTCTACAAGGTCTCTTTTTATGGCGGTGTGGAATGAGACTAGTGTGAGTGATGAAGTGTGGAAGTTGGTTTGATGTGGTTTGGTTCCATCAATTAGAGGTGTTTACATGCCAAAGTTATGCTTGGTAAGGTTGCAGTTAAGTGTGGATTAATTAAGAGATGCTTGTTGAACAGAAGTATGGGTATGTGTGCTATATGTAATGCGGAGTTAAGAGGCATTAGATTTTACTTGTCGTGAGACTTGGAAACTATGATAATCATGAATCAGATTATGGGGATTCCCATGGTCCTCTTCAAGGGATGCTAGGAGTTTTCTTCTTGCTTGTAAAGGGGTTGTGATTAAAGAAGCGGTAGAGAGCTATGGGATATGTCATTTTTTGCTATTTTTTAGTCTGTGTGGGCTATTTAGGATTGAAATTGTGCATAGAGGCAAGCTGGAGCAAGTTTTTGATTTAGTGAAGGTTCGTGTCGATTCTTGGACTCGTGCCAGATGGCCAAGGATAGCCAGTTTTACATTAAACATTCTGCTTTCGTCGAATTTAGCGAAAGTTCCTGGTAATAGCCCTAAAGTTACAATCGTGGTGGATTGGATTGTGCCTAGTGACCGCTCAAGGGGAAGCCACCCAAGTAGCCGACTTTAGGACCCAAATTTTTATAGATCTCTAATTTTATAATAATAATTTAATTAATTATATATTAAATAATAAAATATCTATGTATTCTGTTAGACTTAATAAATATATATTTTATCTTTCTTTCGTATTCTTATTAATTCTTAATTATTTGACTTTTTTTTACGTAAAAGTCAAAATAATTAATAAAATAATATATTCTCTTTTTTTTTAATTATATACTTAATAAATATAAATTTTTTATCACTTCTCAATTCCTATCATACTATTAATTTTTAATTATTTTTATTATTTTCAATCAACTAACATTAATATGTGTTCAATGATCTCCAATAACTATTTCTTCTATTTTCAATCAATTAACGTATTTACTTATCTTCAATAGCTATTGTTTATATATAAAATTAATTTTTTTTAATTTATAATATCTAATTTTAAAATTTTCTTTTCTCATTTGATTTTTTTTATTTTTTACTTCAATTTTTTTTCAAAGAATACGTAAAAAGTTTATTATAATATTATTTTCATAAAGTTATGAGTCTCATTTTTTATTTGTAATAAGTATTTAATAATTAGATACTATTATTTTAATCTTTGTAATTTTTTTTTAATTTAGAGTTTATATTATATTATTATATTATCTTTGTTTTATATGATAATTTATTTATATATATTAAATTAGAAATTTAACCAAAAATTTTAATAAATTTTTTTTCTTAATTTCAATAAAAAAAGATTTTATTTAAATATTTAATTTTAGACCTTTGTGGTTATTAAGCCGTCTCTGATTGTGCCCCTGAAAGGTGGTTGAAATTTAATATTGATGGGGCTGTTAGGGGGAATCCAGGGAAGGCTGGTATAGGTAGGGTGTTGCAAAATGATTTGGTTGAGAAATGAAGGCTATGATTTCAAAATCTGTAGGAGTGCACAATGAAACTTTGTGGAACTTGGTGCAGTACTCTGAAGCATTAAAAATCTTTGTATCGTCTAAATGGCAATCTTCACACTTCATTGTAAGTAGTGTTCTACTTATTTTCCAGCTCTGTTCTTTGAAACCGGTGATGCATTGAAATTCTGTTGGCTGCTTCGATTCTTCTATGGGCCATGTGACTTCTTTGACTTCTTCACACTGTTGTTTTCGATTGGCAGTAGTGATACTTTCCAGCACAAAGGGTGGTAGTCGAGGTTTTAAGAGGTTGTGTTTCTCTATTTAATGTCTTTGTAAGAATCTATGGTTCTTTGCTAATGACTTAAAAGTCTATTAACCATAGTCTACAATCATGTAATGGGATTATCCACTGTCTGTTATTACAGATTAATTTTTTTTTATGACTTAAGTATGTAATGTTCTTCTCAATTTAGAGTAATCAATCAACAAGGTTTATTTAATGCATTTCTAAGAAGATATGGTTCAAGTCTATTAATTATAGTTTACAATTATATACTCAATCATTTAATTTATTGGTTAATGTATACTTTTTTTATCTAAAAAATAAGATTCGAATATCTTTTCTTTCAATTACATAAGCTCTGTCTATTATTATAATTTTTTTATGACTTAAGTACGTAATGTTCTTCACAATTTATTTTATGACTTGAGTACGTAATG